GAGTAAAGTAATAATTGTTCTCTTTAGTGACATTTCGATATGCAATAGACTGAAAAATATTCTCAGCTGTGTTCGGGTGATCACACGTTGTGTCGAGCCCTGTCTCAGCTATCAGCAAGTAATAGGTCACAACACAAGTAAAATTTAGGCGAGTAAAATTAAGTGTTTCACCTTTAAATATTGACGATTGTATAACTTCACGGAGTTCTTGAGGCTATCAGGAGTAGCCACATCTCAAGCTGTTATTTTTCAGAGATAACAAACTTAATTTAGATATATTCTAAAGGTTGCTACCATCTGCTAAGCTTATGAACTTGAATACTCCATTATTGAATTGTAACTAATTTGTTACTCATGGCTCAGATAAACAGTCTAAATATCAATAGTATAATTTGCTTCAATTGAATGAACTATATTTTCTATAGTTTGGTTTGTAAGGGTTAGTTATGTTTTTACGAGTTGATCACGGATTGATATCAGTAAGAGAACCATTGAAAACCAGCCACAGGGAGTACTGGACAGCTGTTTCATCTTAGTTTGGGAATCATCGGCAGTACGCACCCACTGGGATTCGAACCCAGTACCTTCCGGTTACAAGGCAAGCATGTATACCACTCAGCCACTGGGAGCCGATTCAATGGCTCATGAATTCTAACTTCTACCAATTCGTGATTTAGCGCGACTGACTGAGATGACTTTGTTCTATCAAAGTCATATAAGAGTGAGGGAGTGGTAACTGAATTCGGGAGGATATCTGTATTGTACCAGGATTCGAACTATTAGGACCAATGCCACTACCCTTCTTTGAGTAACTTATCTACGAGGAACAATTGTCACTAAATGTTAACCGGCTTTTGTCACTGAGCGAAACACTAAATTCCTAACTATTATTACCCCCCCCCCTATATTCTATCAGGTCTACAATGGAATTTAAAGTATCCTTTGTATTTTTGATCTCCAGAAGAAAACACAGGCGATCTGCCAAAGCATCTGCTTTTTTCTCGTCAAAAGAGAAAGACATTTTCTCATCATGTTTATCAGTTATAGTATTTCAATCCGAGTGTGCTTCGTACCGCTAAACTTGAAGTGTTTTGCACTATGATTAGCTCGTAGTTCTGACTTACCTTGAATATTATAGTAAAAGAATCACAGTTGACACGTTTTAGACACTTCGACGGTAGATTTGTCTGTATTAGTTGTAAACATTTATCTGACTTAAAGGTATGTCCAGTGTACTCACTGGTTTTCATTAGTTCTCAAACTGATGTCGGTTCATAATAAAATCGGAGTTGAAATCAACCAAATCCTTGCACAGTAACACTAAAGGCAATCTTCAAAAATGATTACAATAATGTATAGTTCATACTTGAAAAAATTAAAATTCATTACAATAAGGATATTTTACTTTATTGTATCTAACAGTTGCTTGCTAAAACAACCCTCCTCAAATTTTGTCTACAAGTCACCTTGTATTTATAAAAGCACGTAAATCGAAATAATGCATATTCCAGGTAATTAGTGAATATACGCTTAATACTACATTGGTTCGTCACCTGTATGAACATAATGTAAATATTCTGTGACAGTTTTGAATAACCAGAATTTAGTTGAACTGAAATTTACTGGTTGAATCACAGCGATTGCCAATAAGTTACCTAAACTGAATGTGGATATCAGTCCTGCACTATTAAGTTATAATGCTGTTTCACTGTGTCATGCACAACTACACAGATAACTTCGTCAACTTATCCATTCATGCTGAACAAATAACTGACGAAGACTTACAGTGTTATACAGTAATGTTTACTGATGACGTTTTGAGTACAATTTATTGTTCATAATCATATCAAAGTGGAATTGTACTCCACGACAGTGCACAAGTTTTATTCTTATATCAACGGACGAAGACATTTGAAGGAGAAGAAGAACTCATTTTACTTGATGGTATTTCTTCAGTTGCCAAAAGTATATAATTTATTATGAATAAATATAAGTTCATATGATTATAACATTACTATTATTTTCTTGGGCTCCAAATGGGTCTTCAGCAGCACATCTGCACTCCACCCTTTTCTCTGCTGTCTGCTTAGCTGGCTCCACGACTCCTCACAAGCCTTCATTTCTTCCACACACGATCTCCTCCATATTACTCTTGGACGCCCAGCACATCGCTTCCCATTAAGGTTTCACTCGAGGGGATAGTGTGTGATGTCACTCGGAGTAGAGCCCAATCCATATTCTTCTGCATATTTGATGGGTAATAGGTTCTAGATTGTGCGTTGTAGGTCGAGTACAGCTTCTCCTTCCGCTGTTCATCTGTGCACTGGTTCATCTGCTTCACCATCCTTCTCTCCCCTATCAGCTTCCACGCGTTCATAGTGAGCCATCCCTCTTCTATCCAGGCTTCCCTGCATTTTCACCGACTTCCAGTATTCTTCAACGTAAATTTCCTCGGTGATGCAACATAATGTCTTAATTATCTCTGATGGCTGCAGTGGAAGTATCCTTTGTGACTTTCTCCCTTAGTTTGTGTGTCTTAAGCTTGAACTGTGGTCTGTCTACAGTTTCTTCGTAGGCCTTCAGCTTGATCTTGAAGGCATTTTAGGCTGGATAGAGGTCTGAGCCTACAAGTTCTCCTCTTCTCGATTTTGTGTCCAGTAAGGTTTCGTCTCTACTTTCTCAAGATCACATTGAGCTTAAGTCTGTCTGGTGAAACCAATTCATCTTTTGAATATCCTTGTGCTCAAACACCCAACCTCCAATCAACAAGTCGTTAAACGCACAAAAGTCTGCGAATAGTTCTCTGTTCTCCTGAATGTCACTGAGAGCCTCTCAACTCATGGTGAATTCCCTTCCTGTGTTATCTGTTCTCTCATTCAAATAACCCAACCGAATTTCGATGCTGCCAGGTGACTTGGGTCTTGTCCATTGGTATTTGCAGCTGTCTGTAGAAATCCTCCATCTTTTGATCTGTATTTTTTTGTAGGCGTTTAGTGTTGTATAACGGTAACTTTCCCACATTTTTGCTGTCATGATCCGGTAGGAGATCGGCTCCTATTACATGAGGTCTTTCAATGCTATTGGTGACATTAGATAGCTACACCCTCAGTGGGCTCGTGTTTGTCATCTTGGCAACCAGAATATATTATTGACTCTCCAGTTAACAGTGCACAGAGTCAACTTCCATTCCATTTGCTCCCTCACACTCCTAACACTTTTTACCATATATTGTCACTTCGCTTGCAATGTCCGCATCATTGGCAGCCTCGCACACTGTGTGAATATTCCATCTCCCTACAATTACTTTGCTTTCACGGGAAGAAGATAAATCAGTCGACTAGCCTCGTGAAGGTCTTCACTAGGTGGTGTCATTTTTCCTCTCCGATTACAGCAAAAAATGGGTTTACTTTTCAGAATTTTTTTTATGCTTTGAAGTTTTGGCAGCGATTGGATTGATTTTCGGGGGTAGTGTTTCCAGTCTTATACCCAGTCTTTGCTCCTTCTTTGGGTTTAGGACGTATCAGTAAACTAAGCAATATTAATTCACAACATAACTCAGAATTATTTGGGCTAAGAAAGACATTTGCTAATTGTTGCCTCAGTTACGAAGTATGTGAAAAAGACGGTGAATACTCAATAATTAAACAACCGAATTTTATTTATACATAATATAAAACTGCGTGTTCGATAAGTGGTATGGTAGAAAGACGTATAAGAATAAAACTTGGGCACTGTGGTAGAGTGTAATTCCATTATGGGTAAATTTTTATTTTGATAGAGTCTCACAGTGTTATACAGTAATATTTACTGATGACGTTTCGAGCACAAACTATTGCTCATAATCATATCAAGTTGAAAGAAAGACGTTTTGGACATGTAGTGTTAAACAGATATTTTAAGTAGGAATAAATCATTAGGCAAAAACATAATTAAGTGGACTGAAAGTCTTAATAATATGTTAGCTTCAGTGTGTGAAAATAAAAAATATTCATGACCTACAAAAAATAGTTACCAGGGTTAGTGCGAGACTAACTAGACTAGATGTTTGATAGCAATGATATTTGTGATACTAAGCAACCATGGTAATCCTAAAAGCTTGGTGATCGTATTTATAGATAATCTGGTACTTTTCAAACGTAGATTGGTACGTGTATGATCAGAAAATCGGTAGATCTCCTATTCTTAACTCTCCCTATATACATATTACGGCAAGTGCATGTAAGTTGATAAATACAACTGAAATGAGAAAGATGACCATTTGCCTTCGACTGAACTAATAAGCACTTTGTGTTACACACTGGAATCAACCTAGCATCCTTGATTCTTGTTTCGCGCTAGAGACGGTTTTCTAGTCCAGTTTTTTGTTTTCCATGTTTCGTTATAAACTATTATTATCTGTGTATGATTTCTTCTCATCCCATTCCATATGTAACCGTGAGTTCTTATCAGTGTTTTTTATTTCTAGGATAGTTTTTCCCTTTTGTGTTTCTGGAATATTCATTCACATGTGAATCTTACACCCAGATGGTCTTTTAATAACCATCTTTTATCCAACTTTACTCAATTCAACAACATTTTATTCACTGATGTTTTCTGTCAGTCAGGTTTTCGTCGCAGATGTGATCAGATTCCTTTCCATTTTTCACGCAGTGTTTAGTGTTGGGGTTATTATAGCTTGTAATTAGCTCATAAAGTTAATTTTCAGTATCATGCTCCGATTGTTGTATTTGCTTTCTTTAACGGGGTGACAAATTTTATGGAGTTCAGTAGAAAGAAAGGTGGATCGCTCGATCTGTAGGTTTCATTTTCTACTCCTGATCATTTAAGCATGTAGGTTAGAAAGATTTATCCAAGAAGACAAAGATAGTGAAATATTATGAGGTTCACTCCACAAATGACTACGCTTAATCGCTGTTTAAACCAATCAGAACAAAGCTCTACTTCTTTTAGTAGACTAGAAATCGTTTACTGTTCACTTGATTGGTTAGATACAGGAAGGTATGTCAGAGAAAACTACTTGTCTATTGACCAATCAGGATGTAAGTACGAGGAAATGAGCTAGGTAACATTCTGTACCAAAAATCTGAATAGTTCTAATTTCTGTCACGTCTTTACAGGATTATCATCACTTAAAGGTAAATTTAATTTTAGTATGCAACTTAGATATTGTGTATACTTATAGATTCTGTTGAATAACTCACTTGTTTATTAAGAGTTAAATCCTGCTGGGCTCTAAACAAATTATTCATGCTTCCGGGCAGACTGTAATCAATTTGATGTGTCTTTATCATCCAACTAAGTTTAGTATTTACATCTACGCTGCGAATTTACGACTGATCTCTTAATTCGTCATGTAGTCTAAAACATGCTATAATATTTGTGAGAGTCTAAGTGGCTTCATGACCTGTTTCTATTGATTAAGTTATCACATAATGACTCAACTTCTCACCAGCTGACTTGGTAACTTTCAAAAGACTACAACATATTCTTTCAGTTTTTTATATTTCAAAATAGCGCACAATGAATGGAATTAGTTTAGCAGAAAGGGAGAGGTAGCAGTATTTTGTTATTTTAGAAGACTGACCATTTCTTTTAGTAGAGTTAATTAAGACCACTTCCTTTAGCTTCATTGAGCAATATACACTAATTACTCTTGAGGAAACAAAGGATGATATTATTTTTTGTACTGGGTGTCTCAACCATATTAAGTTTCACATTCCTGAGAACCACTTTTAAGGTACCGAAGGTGTTGACAGGTGTTAAACAATTTATAAAGCTAGGTAAATATATCTCTTATTGTATAACCCATTAAGTGAATGAATTTTTCCATACCTACATATAACTGTTACTCGTTTTATTTCTGACTAATGACCAGCACTTAATCACTACAAGTAGCCCTTTGTTTTCAGTCACTTGACCCATTATCAACCAGTGTCCGTTAGATAATAGTTCCTGTTTTGATTATTATTTCGGTCGACACTGTAAGCCCCGATGAAATCACCCTATATATATATATATATATATATATATATATATATATATAGATTCATGCAAAAACTGTGATTTAATTCACCACATCTCTTGTGTCGAATTCAAATTTTACCTGAACACTTTACGAAAACAAGTCAATGAAACCTAGAGCCCAATAAACACCGTTACTTTCTTAATGTCTACTTTAAACTATGCATTGACTTAAATTTATGGTAGTGACTCACTGAACATTGAAGTACTTATTCTTGAGTATACAATAAATAATGTAGTTTAACAGTGAGCTAGGAGATCTAATGTAAATTAATATACAACTGATTAGTGTTAGCTCACTCATTATGTGATTTACTGTAATTTACAACTTTGACTAGTACTTGAACTTTTGAAGTATTAAAACACCTTTGTTTTCACAGAACACATCCAATTAGCAGGATGTAGAAAAATAAGGGAAATAGTCATATGTTTATTTGTTCTTTAAATTTAAGTACATACCGTCTTTCCCTTTTCTGCTGTCCACACCAAAAATATTATCACCTAACAAAAGATTCAACATAGGCAAAGTGGGTGTCCATGAGTCGATATTTTGTTTCTTTTTATCGGGAAGTACTTCCCATACTAATCATCCACGAGTGAAAGGAATAAAAAGATTCACACGACTTAATACAGCACAGACTAATTCTTTAATATAATAGTTAATATTCACTATCTGGTAGATAAATTTCAGCAAACCTTCTAGGGTCGTTTAGTTCCAGAGTAAGGCCATCTGAAACGTCTACAAATAAGTTGATTGACATTTTAATGCATCACTACAAAAACATAAACCTTGTTAGATAAGGTGGGATTCTAACTTTGAATTCTTTAATTAGTATTGGAATACTTAAATTCGTGAATCATTGATAACATAAAACTGAAAAAAGACCACAGGCACAAACGAAAATTGTTGTGGACTGATTATAAACTACATCACTAGGCCTTTCAGCTAAGCAAAGCTAGTTATGCATACTTATTGTCCTCTATGGAAGTACATCTGATTTCTTGTTGCAATATAGTTTGATGTAGCTAATAACAGTGTCGGATAAAACGCTTTTTTCATTTCAAAATTCCATTAGGCCGACACTGATTATAGCGAAAAAGCTGGATCCAATAAATCACTTTTTTTATTTCAGTCAGTATAGGCGTATGCGCAAACTAGTCAGGTAATTAAAACTATTCAAGATTGTATAACTGCTAGATTTAGAAGGATGTCCAAAGTATACTGTCTGCTTTTTATTTAATCTCAATGAATGATCTTCACTCGATTTCGCATTTTACTCATATTAATAGCACTAAATGAGTTTGCCTAAACAGATAGTATATGATATATGTAGCCAGTTCAATGAGTATATTAAATCAATATTTCTATTGAAGCTGGGGTTTTAAAGAAGTCACTCTGAGATCACAGACTACTCTCTAGAAAGTGGTTAGAGTTAAGACAAAGACAGTAAAATATTTGCTTCCTTTTCTTCAATGGACCAGTTCTCTATCTTTTACTTCTCATTCCAAGCGTAGTAACAATTGTATTGTGCTTTTTTAACTGGATAGGGTTGCTAATCTCACACCCAACCTTTCCTATCTATTGAATTTACTATTGGCTAAGCGAGGTCTAGGAGTTTGTCGGCCTGGATCACGTGAGCGGTTAACGAGAATTCTGTCACTGACTCACATAATAGATTAGTTCATATTTTTATTATTTCACCTGTTTTGTAAGCATAATTCATCACCTTTCTTCGCTTTTTAGTTCATTTTATTGATACACATCTTTTCAGTGTGTAATTTAACAATGTCTACTGCAATTCAAGCAAATGATAATGATGATGTTTTATTAACCGAAGAACCATTAAGGAAACGTACAAAATATCTAATGGACTCAGTGCAGACTAAAAAGACCGAGTTCGGTGTTCATAATAAGCCTGTAGATGTATTAAAAGAAGGAAAAAATGTAAAGCCACATTTATCGAATATTTTATCACCATGTTCAGAAACAACACAGTCATTTTTAAATATTTATGAAATGTCCAACAGTACGGATACTACTTCCAGTTTAGGTATACCAAGACGTAGTAAGTTCAATGAATTAAATTATGCATATTTTGTGTGTTGTTGTTGTCGTTGTTTGTAATGAATTCTTTAATACTAAGTTTTATTTTTAATTCAGCCAACATAATAAATTACTGCTAATTAACATCGCACTGTCCATTATTATTGTCTCTGTTAGTTATTATGTGCTAGGCTGTCACAGGCATATCAATGCTCTGTCTGCTTCTGAACGATGACACTGGACTATTTTACTCCTTAACCTTACTCCCCCATAATCTTAGTGTTCTGTAAAACGTCAAATAACTACCTTCTGCTAGTTTTTTGTTCGATACCCCAGCTTGCGTAGCTGAGCTTTCTGCACTAATCTAGCAAACCTTCTTGTAGAAACAGAGCTGACAAATTCTTCACGGGTATTTACACAAATAATTACTGATTGTCTGGATGTTAAAGAGATGGTTGACGGATGTATTTCTTTCAAATTTATCTATTGACAGAAATATGACTATTGATATTGTGCATTAGTTGGATGCTTTGACACTTGTATGACTTTTATTATTTTATTCTGACAATGTCGTTATTTAATATGAGTTATCCATCGACCTTTTTTTATAACATCAGTGTATTTTTTTTTAGCTCAATCAAGACAATGAACTCCTCATACTTATGAAGAATTTGCATGCTAAAGTTGACGCTTAGATTGACATTAACAGCTATACTGCGAAAAAATTAATCTTGGGCAACAATATAACCTTTAGAATAGACCTCTAATAAAAAACTAGGAAAATCAAATATTGACTGTAAAAGAATACCATTTATTTTTTTAAATTTTGATTTACAGCTTCATAAAACTGTTAAGCAATGCCTTTTGTCTTAATCCCTCCCCTTCAACCATTAACTCTCGTTCTGCGTCAACACTCCTCCTACCCCAAGGTCACTACTAATAAATATCACACCTATTTTTCATTCACAAGCCTATATAAATTAGATAGCCCAACTTATTGCTTACGCTCACTCTTTCCCCTTTCTCGATATTAGATTGTCAATAAAATTATTATAAAGTGACGAAAACGTTAGTAACTCTTATCTGAATCCATTATATTGCTTTTTTTTCTCTTTAAGATTTAAAATATCCAAACGAATTAGTTGCTGTGTCCATTATATTTTTGACTAAACACATTAAATGTGTGTCAATAGAAAAAAAACAAAGAGGGAGCAATTTGTTTTGTGTATTAAAATATAAACTATTCTGCTGACTTAAAAATCATTTCTACTCAGTCAGCACTTAGAAATGGTTTAATCTAAACGACTTCCCAAAGTGTCCATTGGCAGGCTGTTCTTATTTTTCGGGGCTGATGATTATGGTTCATAGCAAAATATAGATTGCTACGAGACCGAAAAACCCATTTTTCCTACCGGTACCTTGGAATGAATGATATGAAAGTGAGATGATAATAGTAATGGATATGTTTCACAGGTCAGTCAGTAAGGTGGTGGATGACCCGACGATTTGAGAGTGGCAGATAGCATCCTCACTATCACAGATGAACATCAAGTTCGATATTGTTAAAAAAGAAAAACAAGTCTTAGGAGTACCGAGTGGTTTAAGGTTTTAGTAGTACTACTATTACTACGAATAATAGTAATAATATTTGTAATGATAATAATTTGTTCGTACATATTCTAAGCCTTAGTGTCATATCTACTTACTTTGAGCACCTAATATTAACCACTCTTGGATTTGAATAGCACCCTACCGAGTTAAGTCAGTACCGATGAGTAGTTTCATCAGCCCACACATATAAAATGTGGCTCACAGCCTGGTACATGAGAAGTCTATTCTTAAAATATGATTTCCAGCTGATTAACTGATCATATTATCCTACTAAACTCATTTAATCCGAAATTACTGGGTCCTAAAATGGTTGGTAGAAATACTGAAATTATTCATTCTAGGTCGTGTTTGGTTTTTTTATCGCTTTCACCTATTAGCTGTAAAAAAAACCCACATCTTTTTTTGGCTAGAAATAATCAGAGCAAATATTTAAACTGAGATTTACAGTCTGATTACATTTATGAGCAGGGAGTTTACTAGGGATTTGAATATTAACACATTGGCCATTGCATAATAACGTTAGTTTTCATGTTAGTGTTTTTCTGTCTGAAAGGAAAGAAATTATTAAAACCGTTCTGTTTATTTAGAAGATGATACTTATACCCTCTCATAAATATGACCGGCACATGCCACTATTTAGAGTGCAGTGTTGGACTCTTGTGTGAATATTTTGGTACTTCGTGGCTGTAGTTTATTATTACATTTTGTAATCTGCTACTTCTACTTAAATAGAAAAATAATTAAGGTAGAAACGCGAGTTTCTCGTTTAAATCTCATAATTACTATCATAGAAGAATAAGATTAGCTTTCGGGACACTACATCATTAAACTTATGCGTAATTCATGTTTCGAAAACGAAGACTTACAACTGCTGAAATTTAAAAATCTTAGATTTGCAGAAGTAGAAAAAGATGGGGAAAACCGTGCTTTGATCTATTTAGGGGATATTTTTTCACGAACCTAAATAACTTACAACTGCTTCCGAATAATGTCGTGGTTGTAAGTAGTTTAGAAGTCCCTATATCATAAAATACAACTGTCTGATACTGTTTGGTTAAGTGATTCCTAAAGAAAGGCGAGTGTGCACTGAAACCAGCTGATTCTAGTACAGACTTCAATTCAGTGTTCATAACTCACAAAACTACCAATAAATACTGGGTGCTGACGAGGTGCCGGTTAGTGACGACTACGATTATAACTACAACCCAGCTATTATAACATAAAGAGAGAAAGAGAGAAACAGTGGTTTAGCAGATAGATGATAAGGTTTTCTGAATAAGAGCTCTATAAATCTCGCCAAGCTGCTACAAATGTGAGTAATAATAACCTAGGCATACTCATATCACGAAACCGACAATAAATGCTTGTAATATAGTTAAATTCAGAAGGAAATGTTCACTGTCGTATGAATTTCTAACTGTCATTGTTTTCTTATTCTTTTATCTAACTAATGTACAGATATTTCAAACACTCACATTAATCATCCAGATGTAAACTATGATGAGGCTAAGTATAACTGGTTGGATTCGACTAACAGTCATTCTCACTTAGGTAAGTACAGTAACAATGAAATGAAATATATGCATCAGCTGTACAGACAGGGGATAACCTGAGTTCAAAGTTGTACACCTATGTTTGTTTTGTTTCTTTTTTGTTTTGATATATTTTCCAGTAAAATAAGGCTTATTTATGCAGTAGATTTCTAGTTTTGCACATTTCAGTTTAGATGTACTCATTCATAAAGAAGTGAATAACATTCTGGTATGTGAACTGATGGATACTCGTTTCGATCTCCAGTAGAAAAGCAAACACTTATTCGGATGCAGACACCTTCAAACGACGAATCCTGAAAAGAATGAAACGGAAAGTTTGGACTTCACTGCTACAGACAAATAACATAAATACGTAATATAAACCTAAACTTTAGTAAATAACCTTGCGTGCTAACTGACATCTTGAAATTCGAAGGGGAATCTAGATTACCTAGATCTAATTCGAAGGATCGATAATTGAAGTGTTTTAAGTTGATGACCACTTCTGATGCAGGTTGGATTCAAAATCACTGGACCTCTAGACCCCAGAATATCTCTGTTGTCCATATTTTCTTCGTATGATTGCGAAGTTGCGACCATGCAATGAAGTCGTCCGTGAATTCAAACGAAAGCCGTATGGAAACAACTCACATCTATGAGCTTTATAATCAACTGGTTGCTTCCTAGATAATTTCAAAAGTAAGCAAAACTTCTTTAAAAAAATTTTGTCCTAGTTATTCATTGAACTTGGCTGATCACGACTATTCAGAAAGCAGTTAAAATCTGTTTAGAAAATTTCTCTCCATACTTTAAATGAGTATTCTTTTCAAGAAGGTTACAGATTAACTGAAAACATGCTATCTAGAATAAAGTGTCTGCATCTTTTCAAATAGTAAGTCATTGGGCTCAGTAGTAGCATTTATCAGACTGTTCATATGATCATAAACATAAGTTGACTATGTATCTCATTCACAGATGTTATTTCTTGTCTGTTATTTCAAAATTCAGTGTATTCATTTCTCTTGTTCTAACATGCCATCCTTGTAAATCCAGCGTAAATAATATGTCACATTCTCAACCTCCAGACAAATAGGTAAAGTATATCCAACAACGCTGACATAATTAAAATACTCCTAAAATATAACCACTCAGAGTCACTTCTGTATATTTCAATCAGATTTACATGATATTAGATAATCAGCTATAAATAAAAAACGAAACTAAATAAACCAATAATCAGTATTTGCCTGGTAAAAAAATATTCTAATAGTAACTCATACTACTTATATACGTAAAGTTGTGCTAATTTAGATAAATGAAATTAGGAACATATAAATTATCATATTTCTTTTCACTGTCTTTCTTTCCAGATGATGAACAGGGATTTACTCAATCAAAATCTGATTTATCAAACTGCCAAATATCTTCTGCAAGTGCCCAGGAATCGAATTCCCATGAAATACTTAATTCTGATTCCACAGCAACAATGGGTAATCACCCTCGCCATTATCAACATTCAGAACCGTTACAAGCTGTACGTGCTGAGTCACTGGCTGAAGTCAGTCAGACTTTAACATCTACATCATCAGTTTCTGTTGTTTCGGACACTTCTTCAGATAATTCTAATGGTTGTATGCAGATAAGCAAGATGTCATTGCCAAGTTCTACTTATTCGAATCTTCAACGATTTGTAAGCATCCATTTTTTAATAATCTTTAGTGGATTTGATGTTTGTTTAAATATGGCAGTTAGGACTTGAAGATTCACATTCAAAATCCCTTTCATACTAATCATCACTTACACACAGCACAGTCTGTCAGAGGTTCCTTGTAACGTGAACATTTTAACAACGCGGTGTCTGTTAACCGGATTTTAATGATGTAACCCTAAATTGTACCTGGAATGTTCGGGTCCACTCGGAAGGCAAGGAATAAGAAAAAAAATAAGATCACCAATATTCTATATATATCTTACTAAACATAGTTTACGGTGAAAATAAGTTTAACGACTATGCTTCACCTATCTCCTACTGTAATAAGTAAATAAAACTGCCTTAAGTATGTTTTTTGAAGATGACAACTTAACTGTGAGATGTTCATTATCATCGTCCGCAATAGAATCTTAGGAAGTATTATTATTATTGTTCCCTTGGGTTCCTAGTGAAACATAGGGCTTCAACTACACGTCTCCACTTGCTCCTGTCTTGTGCTGTACTTTTCACCCGCATCCAGGTTAATCCGTGCTGTTTCAACTCCTCTTCACACGATCTCCTCCATGTCACCCTTGGACGTCCTAGTCGCCGCTTCCATTTCGAGTTCCACTCGAGCTATGGCCTGACGCGCGATGTCACCCAGCGGCCTCCTCAGCGAGTGTCCAATCCATCTCCACTTTCTCCTATAAGAATTCCATTGTAAATGGCTTGTGATCTTTTCGTAATGACATGACAGATCAGTGCTCTTATTTCTGTTGAGTACAAAATTTTAAGCGGCCTCAGGAGTAACTTAAAAAACGTATATCGTATTCTTAATTGACTGGACACATTAGTGACCAAGTTAACTCGTTGTCAAACTTCTGAAAAATTTATATATTTTTTGGTTAAATTTCAAATTTTCGGTGTATTCGACGAAATATCCATCATTTTACTAAGACTGTTAACTATTTAAGCATTTACAACAGTTATCACGGTGATAAATCAAATACATAAAATACGAAAAAGAAGCATAATCAAGACAGAAAGAAATACATCTTACAAGGTACAGTTAAAGTGTTGTTAACTTATACAAGAAGAAAGACCAAATGTAGTAAGGATAACAACAGTGCTAAAGGAAACAATTCATTTATTAAAGCAAAGCAAAGAGATTTCATTCCCTACGGATAACGATGACACTTATTTAAACAACAGAATAAAACTACAGAACATTTTATATTAAATCGTTTCTAGTAATTCTTAAGTAGCTTCACCTAAAAAAAGTAGATTTTTCAAACGTATGGGGCTATATATATATATATATATATATGTATATAGATTGAGGACAAATACTCGCCGAAGACATTGGCTAGGCGTCGCGCTATGTCGTGAATTGGCCGAAGTTAGAATTCATAGACCATTGGATCGGGTCCCAGTGGCTTAATGGTATACGAGCTCGCCTTGTAACCAGGAGGTCCTGGGTTTGAATCCCGGTGGGTGCGTACTGATGAAGAGTCCCAAACTAGGACGAAACAGCTGTCCAGTACTCCCAGGTTTTCCAATGGTTCTCTAACTAATGTCAGCTCATGATGAAAATCCTGTAACCAATCAAATCCCTACAAACCAACACTTGAAAGCCTAAATACTTAACTTTCGTTATTGCATTGCTTTTCCCCTGCAAGAATGACTTCACCGTCCTTGTTCATTCTCTTTCTTCTTATTTTAGCTAGCCAATGAGAATTGTTCAAATAATGATTCTTTATTGACTTTGAATAATGAGTCAGGGCATAATCTGTCTAATACATCACCAGCTGATCAAGTAATATCCACGCCATCTTTTTGCCAGTACACACCGACACAATCGTCAACATCATCTGGAAAGGCATTCACATGCATAACAAAAATGATACCACAAACAGAAAGTGAACCTCAGACTAAATCAATGAACAAAACAGTTTCCAACGCAAATTTGATTTCTATGTTCACAGATTACAAAGGTAACGTTAATTTCACTTGATGTAGAACAGTCAGTACTACAAATTTCGCCACAACCAGTTGAACACCGTATTTACAGTGATATGCATATTAAATTTAGATTTAATTGATTATGAAGTACGGGTCACAGTCTTCAGTACACAAATACACATTTCTGCCCTTACTTAATTACTTTAATTACATAATGAGTAAATTCGCTTTATTTGAAGCAGTTTCCAGCCGCGCTAATCATCTGCTGCTAACCTGTATTCATCAGCGCTAATATTAATTATTTATCATTGGAAAGAAAACCCTACCGAAAATTTCCTTCACTTGGCTTTATTAAGCACTGAGATGTCAGAACAAACTAACCAGTTATTCTAATCATTAATGTAGATCATTGACTGTCGCCTAAAGGAAAATGAGCATGTCTCTGTTGTTTCATTTGTGCGATTGCTAAAATGAACCTATAAGAAGTTTCGCAGTCTTATCAATAATAGCAATAGCAATCTAATCAAGTTAACATGTCCTTAAAAAGTTTACTTTCTGAAGTAAGTAAGGTTCTGCATGTACTAACTGTGGCCAATAAGAGCTGACAGTGTGAAAACAGGTGTCTGTCATGGGAAAAAATATGTTTCCTAGTTGTGTTTTTTTAACATCTCAGTGCTCATAATTACAATATTGAATACTCAATCAATTGTTCAAACACAAGTAAGGTCTTTACTATGTAGAAAATTATACACTAAGCCAACCAGAAAAGCATACTAATGGTCTACGCCATTAGCACACGGTATATCTTCTCGGCACTCTTTCTTAAACTATAAAAGGTATGTGTTTCAGACATTATTGCTCCTTACAAGGAATATTCATGATAGTGAACATTTTTTAAGAATATTCCGGAAGTAGGTGTTTTGTTAGAAAACCAATCAGTTGTAAATAACACGTGCTGAACACTGTCATCTTTTATCGTTATCCTGACTTTAATCTTCATCACGGTCGCTAAAATCAGATAAGCTGCTTTCCGTCGACTAGATTCTCTACATATACCTTCTGAATACATAAAGGTATTAGATGCATATATGTTTTTATAGTCTTTAAAAACACTTTAACACACTTCTAGTTCAACGTTCAGTTATGTATCCTTAAGGAGTCCAAAGTACTGTGGAATAGTGACGCCGTCTCAGTGAATCAGCTTCAAAGATGGGGTATTACTTAAATATTTAGTTATTTCAAATGGTTTCGTGTGCTATTTGTTTGCGTCCAATTTTGGCTCTTCTGTACTGTTAACACATACAGAAAAGTCAAAAATGAAAGTAGGTTGTGACTTATCATACCTTAGACTTAGTCAATAACAAAACGGTTCTCTAAATGATGTCAGCTCACGATGAAATCCTCCAACTAATCAAGAAAAAAGAAACCCCACAAAACCAACAATTGAAAGATGCGATTACTTAATTATTACATCAACTGTTTGTTTGTAACTTTATGCTCTTAGCAAGTTATTTGTGACTCATCACTTGAATTTCTAATATCTCACTAGATATCACGATTTACAGTCACGCGCATTTAATACCACTTTGCAGTTGTGCTATCCACAACCTATATAATAATTTATATATCATGATGCTCACGTACCTCCATCATTCGAATTATATACTGCTCAATGGAAACTCATTTCTTCATCATCCGTCATTCCCAGCGTTCTTTCCATTAAAATTAGAACTTCTCGGTACTGAAATTCTGAAATGCCTGGGCGCATGTCTACAATATTTCATGAATTTCCATCGATAATCCCGGCGATATTCATATTACTATTTTCATTTCTCCTTAATATTTTATCCCGTCCTCAAATTGTCAACAGATTAAAATCTCGAGTAGCAGCTATCAATCTTTCATCTACTAACTACTTCTGAGAATCACTAAAAACGTTCGCTTCAAAGGTTACTTAAACTTCAAGTACATAAGACTTTGATTTTTTCTCCAAAGGACACAGATGGCATAGATAGCAAACAATAAAATGACATAAAAAGATTAGTTTTGTGAAATACTACTCCGATGAGAAAAACGAGATTAACCAATATAAAGTTAGGCGTGACTAATTCGTAACTGTAAATGTTTCCATGGGTCAGCCTACAACAGACGTCCGCTGATTGTCTATGGAAAGCATAATCATTGTTAAAGCGATAAATTTCATTTCAGTAACCAGTTAGTCTACATTATACTGTTACGTTGTACACTTTTCAATGTGTACATAATCGGTAATTGTATTGTGCTGCTTAAGTATGAAGTATTTCTCACTGCGTAAAAATACCGAAATAATGTATCAGTTGAAACAAAGCAGTCATCTAAATGTCTCCATATGTCTTGTTATAAAAAGACATATAACAAATTGCAGTGCAGGTCTGAAATGACTGTTATATGACACTAAAGGGTTTTCTTAAATTTGCATGTATGCACGTAAGCAATATGATTCCTTACAAATTATGTCCTAGACAGTGAAAAGGTAAAATTTGTAGTTCAATATCGTGATAACGATGATATTGTATCCTCTAAGCTTGATATTTCAGCTTCTGACCATTTGTGCTATTCTAGAACGGTGTCATATTAGAATGTTAGTATAAGTGTTATGCTTTAAAACATTATCAGCATTTTTTATAATAAATCGAGTATAAACCATCACTGTCACTTTCATCTCCACAAAGTAGCTAACAGTTTTTCTGACTGCCAAATAATCAGATAGGAAGGGGAACAAAGATAATCAGTATCTGTCACTCTAACAACTTTCTAGCTATACTTCACATTCTTTTGTATAGGTTTAAGAATTACGAAGTAGCTGATCACTATGAGGATATTCTTTATTCTAATCAGAACCGATATACATACTACTATTTTCCTATAATATATGGATTTCATTCGTTTTTCATCTGATGGAATGACCTTCTGATAAAAGTCTTACAAATAGGAGGCCTAATTTTATCCAACATGATCCTTTCTTTATGAATTTCGTAAAATAAGGTTATTTTTGCGTAATACCATAACCCAGAACAAGTCCACTAGAGTAGTAGGCTAGAATTCAACAACAGTCAAAAGCCGCACCACTACATATGATCCTACACGATAAAGGTCTCTCATTATCTAGTAGCAGCTGAGTGTTGTAGATTTGTACATCCTATACCACCAAACTTATTAGATTCAATCCTGGTGACTGGAAGCAGATTTTTAGTTTCCAACTATATTCTACTGACGTGTTTGATATTCACGGATGTAATAAAATTGTTTTGTCTACTTGTTCCACTTTCTATTTTAGAAGGTGACTTCAGTTCACCAACATGTGTTAACAGCTCATGTGATCTATCGGAGGTTTCAGTTTCCTCATCGTCTAGTTGTCCTGAAACAACAAATCCGATGAAATATTGCTATTTTTCACCAGTGTTTACCACTTCTAGTAGCAGAGAAAATCAGTGTGTTCCTTCCAGAGAACCATGGGTAGCTAATGGAGACATTTCTACTGACTCCAGCTATGACAATTCACACAGTCAGTATCGTCAACAGCAGCAACCACAACAGCACTTTCAACAGTCTTATGTTCTACATTCTAATAATCCTCGTCATCATGGTCACACTAGTCAGGATGAATTAATTAATTATTCGAGTGCTGAGCTTCAACAAGAAGACACATCAACACATTCGAATCAAATGCTACTGTACGACTTATATGGTGGTTTAGATTCAGCAAGCGAGACTCCACATATTCAACACCACAATCAGCCCCACCATCATCATCATCATCATCAACAACAGCAACCACAAACACCATCGCAACTGACATCACAGCACCAGGAGTATCAGTTAGGCGTGAATTATAAGAGTGTACCAAAATCAGAAGACAAATTCACAAGAATATTTGTTTGGGATTTAGATGAGACGTTGATTATATTTCATACTTTGCTCACTGGCTATTATGCCCACAGATATGGCAAGGTAAGTGTGTGGTTTTAGCAAAAAGTGAGAGAACAAAGCACACAAAAAAGACACTACTTGTTATAAAGGGTAGACGTGTGGAGGTTTGTTGTATAAAATGATTACCTTCTGATAATTAGCTAAGAGATCTCTGGATACTGTGAAAGAAACTTTTCTAATTTAAAAAAAAATTAAAGTACTTCCAGCTGGTTTCCAATGGTTCTCTAACCGATGACAGCTCATTATGAGATCCTGTGACCAATGTAAACTTAATCTGCATCATACTATATACTACCGGCTGATTTGATTGACTACTCACGTCAGTCAATAGTGCTCTCTTCAGCTATGTCAAACAGGGGATATTGCTGTCTAGCACAGCTCAGACCAGTGAAACAGTCCTCCAGTGTTTCGATCACTTCGATGTAGTCGGCAAACATATTATGATCCGAATATATTTGGGGTAAATTTTCCCCTCGAGCTGGGCAGTTTGCAAATAGCGAATTTGACAGTGAAGTTAGTTCCAGTATACACAGATTGAAAAATGGGAGCCTAAAAGCCAGGAAATAACAAACGACCATTTTATCTGATTAAAGTTAAAGAGATAATAATTTTAAATTCTAACTCATGTACTTCACAGAATGATTTCAGTCAAAATGATTTAGCACCTCAAGTAGATTTTTTTTTTAAAGAAGTTAAGGCTCTAGACAGCTAGAAAAAGTACAACATTACAACCGAAAATCTCTTTATCCCATCTCTGCTTAAATTTTTACTGATCTCCAATGTTACAGAACCTGGTCATTATAGCTCGATCAGCACTTGTAGCTGAGTGCTGTATTGCCGGCTGTGTTTTACTTATCAAATCGGATTAATTGCACTTAACAAATGCATAAATTTATTTCAATTAATAGATTGTTTGATCATGGGATCACGCCATTCTGCATCCAGTGACACTGACTTAGGGTGACCAATAAAATTGTACTACTGGGTTTTAAAGTAAGGTGGAGTAATATCATTGCATACTGTTGCTTACAGGAGATTTTATTGAAAATTACTAACAGGAAACCGATGACCTAAATTCCGTAGTTGTTTAATTAATCATAGTTCTCATAATAATCCTTAAAAATGTGCTCATTATGGAATACGGACTGAGTATTCAATGGTAGAACGCTTTCTAATCACACAAATGGTCGCGGTTTGATAGCTGGAAGACCTTTCTAGACAGTAATAAGTCTAGAAGAGAACGAAGGTTGGTAATGAGGTTAGCAACCCCAACCCCTGAAAACAATACTGCTACTAAGAATTCAAAAGCTTGAAACTCAGGGAATGAGAAAAAGAATTCTACCTTGGAGTATGTTCAAATTGGCAGTTAGTCTAATCTCATTCTGTTATGTGTGTGTCAGTTACCACCAGACAGTCGAATTCATTCATAATTTAGGCTAGTAACTTTCAAAACACTATCACACATCAGAATTGAACATTCATGTTCCCGTAAATACCCAAATCAGTTTGAGCTAGCATTCTAGTTGAAACTGTTACTTCTGAAATAACCAAATAGTGTACCTGACTAATTACGAAAATCAATGAAATTCACTCGACATTTTGTTCACTGAACAAGCATTATTTCTGTTTCTATCACTTCTCATACTCGTCTTCACAATGTTTTTGAGTAAACACCAAATCATATCAAATCTGTCCCTGGTAGTCCTTAATCATCCAGCTGCATTTCGTAAATAAAGTTTATTTCATATTCTTCTGTTTATTCATACTTCTTTTTAATGTAAAAGAAATTGATACAACAGGTCACTATGTGAATAAAGGTTAATCACTAACATTGTCTATTCTGTGTATGTGCAATTAATCAATTTCTAGGATCCTGCAGTTGCTGGTGCCTATGGTTTACGTATGGAGGAATTAATTTACAACTTGGCCGATACTTATTTATTTTATAATGAACTAGAGGTGAGTTACAATTCCTTTCATCTATTATCTACAGTCTTAAATTATATGAGACATTTTCAGGGAGATGATAATAAACATCCAACTTTATGTCGAACAAAAATGTGAACATCATGAGTCAATTAGTGTTGATAATTACAAAATATATAAACTTACACGGTTCATTTTAACACTGAGTATCTTAGCATTGATCTATGAAGGTGTAAGTAATTAAGATTAAAGAAAAAAAGTTTAGAATCAACTGTTGATGCTGTCAGTAAGTGTAAAATTCTAAGAACTCTCTTCGAGTTGTGACCTCGTGAGCTTTTCCGGTTATCAGGTACATCAATGATAATAGATTATTTTTCATCATCACTATTATGCTAGTTACTTGTTCTTTCATACAATAAAATCAAAGCAGGGAATGAAATAACAGCATCTCTACTGTTCAATGGACTGTTTGAAAACGAGCATCTTCAAAATACTTTAATTAATGGTGCTGAAGAAATGAATCTAAAAGACTAGCGATCCTCCAACATTCAACTCATTTATTTGATTAGTGCATCAACATAAACTGTCTGTAACTTGACAGATTTCTATGTATATAGTCTATGCCTAGATATATATCTCTTCACAGTGACATATGGATAAGAGAGAAGGATGGATAGTGATTAAAATTACTGGAGCTGTAACGAAAACCTGTATTACAGCAGGAATGAAACCCGTGACTTTGGGTTACTTATTCGATCTTCTACAGATTGGGATAAGAGAGCCAAAGATACACTTTCGACTTCATTCAATATTCCTCTTAAATTCAGACCTGTATACATAACTAAGATTAACTTACATAGTCTCAAAAATAAATAAAGTAGTCATTGTTATACTAAACGAATTAAAAATATGCATGCAAGTCTCGCTTGATTCCGCTGTCCTATACGAGTACAAATTCATGAAATTTAATTTTCAGCATGGTTCGGTGTCTTCATGCAAGCATCAAGTATATGTAGTTACCTTTACATTAACGTGCTTTCATTTTCTCAGCACTGAAGAATTATCCATGTAGTTTCTGTGGTATGTAGTCAATTTATCTTGTAATTCAACTTATTTAAGTAAAATAATTCTAACTGCTCGCTTAAATCCCTTTAATGGATGAATAACTTACCCAGAGTAAACTACTTTAAGAAGCTTGAACTTGCCAGTCAAAACTATCAGCTTAGCAGCGCCTAAATGACTAGGAGAATTAGAGGCGAGAAAGACGCATGTGTTTATGAATGAACATAGAAGTCAAAAAATGAAGTAAAACAAACCCTTCAAGTGAACACTGTCCAACATTTCACTGAAACAAAATAGCTTAAACGTTTATTGTAAAGCTACTAATAAATACTCTAAATATTTTTAGAATTCCTCTTAAAGACAGTTTACTGTTAACTACTCTTAGGGGTGAATTGGACTTGGCTGACTGGCCCTTGCCTAATATGGTAATGCTCGAACTGTACTCGCCACCATCTGGCATTCATTCACATAATGACTGGATACAAATGCTGATGACTCAATTATAGTTGATTTGAAACAGTTCTTTTTGCTTTTTAGATCATACCAAAGGTGCCGGTTTAAATTCTGCTAAAACTCAGGAATTTTAAATTCCAGTGATCACTGATTAATGTTCAGTCATTCTCAACATAACTATCGCTTTAAAACATTACTAACAAATGCTTTAAAAGTTTCGAAATTTTAAATTTTCAACTACCATTTATCCTCATTCTATCGTAATTTAATTTCAGGAATGCGATCAAGTACACATTGATGATATACGCGGAGATGACAGTTGTCAAGAATTGGCGTAAGTTAGTCAACATTGCATAACACCGTTTTATTAAGTGTCATCAGGTAACGCGTATCTTCCAACAAGAAAAATTAAGGCTTCCTAGTGTCTATTACTGTCTGAATTCTCTTCAGACAAAGTAGTATACTGATAAATATTGTACATCAGTAGTCTCCTGAAGGCTCATACAACAGTTAATTGGCTAAACTCTTCATTGTAGAACTAATAATATTCCCTGATTGCTCAACACTGTAATAGATTGAAACAGATTCGAACAGACGGATTACCTAACTTCAGAAGCTAATTTAATCATTATTATTATATTTAATAAACGATATCTGTCACACTACAGACGACCAATATGTCGATAATATAATATTTAGTTAGGATCACATAAAATCATCTGGAATTTTCAACCAACCCACCATCTGTTAAAACGCTCTAATCATCCTTTCTTCACTCACTTTCCTGGTAAAAGGCAAATGCACACTAATATACTGAATACTGCTAATCTTGATTTTCGTACATACCTGACAAGTTTTTCCGATAACCTAAAATGTCAAGTAAATATTTACACTAAATAAATGCGATTTATTTCGGTGTCGCGTTGCAATTTGGGAATACAACTGATTAATCATGCAGATTTACGGAAAAAGTACTGATGAAATCACCTTACCCTATTTATTAAACATCCTCATTCTAACATCATAGCTGGGGAAATTCTAAAAAACATTTCATCCCCCTCTTGAGCTACAAATCTCTTTTACCACTCCAAAGTTCATAAGACCGTGGTAAGCGTAAAAACCCCTTGGTTTTTATAAGTAGTCTCAGAGATATCGTCGTCAAATACATGGGTATCTGATGATATGGAGTTAGCTAAGAGGAGAAATGTATGATTTTCATCTCATTACAAAATAATAGGACTAGAACTCTTAATGATGTCAGTACTAAGTATAGTAGAACTGCAACTTCCAGTGTAACCTCTAAAAGCTAACATATGCTCTGTGTACAATTCTGTTAATAATTCCTGTTGTATTATCACACTCACTGCCAAATATCATTTATTTACTTAAAAATGACTGTACATTTAGATATTTACGCTCAGTAAATCTCCAAGACGAGGTTTTGGTTCGACGGCGGTTGCATATCAGAACAAATCACTGATGAGCATTTGATTGATTTGTGTAGAATTAATCTTTTAGTGAACACCGTTTCTCATGAACTAATACTAACTTAAAATTTGGGGAAATAGACAAATTATTATTAGTAGTTGTGTCAGAAGTGTCCCGTCCACATTAAATCTGGACACTGGAGAGATAACAAGGAGTTGCTACATCCGCGTTATCTCAAGAATCAAATAAGCTAAGGACATGAGAACATAGATTTCTAGTTAGTAGTCGGAATTTAACTATACCTCTGCAAGAGATGAAATAATTTAGTTCTGTATAGGACAAAGGTGAGCAGGACTAGGAGGTCACAGTTTTCAGTGTTTTAAGACAGTTTTCATAAAATGGTCTGTGTGCATAAATCTGTTTTTTTAAACTAATCCCCGAAACCACACATAAATAAAAGAGTTTAATTCCTTCCATATTGGATAAGTTTATTTTATACTACACAGTGAGACAGTGTTGACAAGTGACTGACATTTCGAGTACAATTTATTATTCATGATCATATCAGTGTATTCACATGGCTTCATCATTTGCTCTCTCTATAAACTCTTCCCCCGTTGTTATTTATTGCAGTTTTCCATATATCCAGTGTAGACATTGCGTCATTTCAATTGCATGTGTTTTCTGTTTTTTCAATCAATAAAGATTGGGTGAATAACCTCTCTCTCTCCATTAAACTACATTACTTTTTAATACTTTCACCCTGCCTATCATGTTATGTGATTACATACAAGTAAATGCATCACAATAGCTGAGTTTTCTCTATATCATTTAACTTAGCACGGACGGTCATTCTAGCTTAAGCTAAATTCCTGTTTCGATACTCTGACTGACACGAGTCTGCCAGTTTGACTTGTGTAAAGTGGATATAAAGTTTAAAGTTATAGGTACTATAATTTCAAGAGTGTTTTTCTAAACTTCACCTTTTACACAATTTTTTGGATCATGTAGATAAATGTGGCTAATTATATTACCTCTCTAAAGGCTGTACATCATCGTTCCCTATCGATTTTTAATCAGGTATACATTTCATTTTATGATCTGAAGGCTCTAATGCAATGCCGGAAAGCAAATATAACATCATGTTTAAATTTGCTTTCAGGTGGTCTTTCTGTTAGGCTACATAGATATTTTTCACATTCCCTATCTCCATTTATACATTTGACTGGAGATGAATAATAAATCTACTTTAGTTTATGTGTTGTTGTTGTTGTTGTTTTTTGATGTTTTTATTCTCATCCTTAGGTCTCCTGATTGACCGCCATCCTTTAATCGCCTTAACTAACACATACATACATACATACACGTTAGGCCATGCATACTCACATTCGAATTTTATTTTTAGAGAACAGATGAACTTACACGTATTACTCATATGTAATCAGATCCTGGCTCAGATTTCTTTGCCTCTTTCTTCGTTTTCGAATAAATAAGTTAAAGAAAAGGAAAAAAGATGTTGTTCCATTGTATATATATATATATATGTTCTCAGCTGGAAGTTTCCTCTGAGTTGATATCATTTGGTAGGCATATAAAAACAACATTCGAAAACTCAACACCTAAATAATATAATAATATGTTATGTGTAATATAATGTACATAGAATGTCTATAAATATTTTGTTCAGCAGTGAGGCCTAAACATTCTCTCTGCCTTTCACTAGGTTATTATTATTCTTGTCATTGACTTAACGAGTTTTACAATAATCACAATAAATTTGGTTAATAAATAAATGTAGTGTTTCAGTGACACAGAATATTGAAACAATTCATTTTGAAGTTAGCGCTACAGATGTTGTCTAGCAGGACAGAAGAGGCATCGCGAATAAGTCATCCAGTTTCAGGAACTCAACACAGAAACATCTGCTTGAGTTACGAATCTTCAGCACAACCAGTCACCCATCTTACTTAGTCACGTCAAGCATTCTGTATGTAGAAAGGTTAACGGGATATTTCTGACCCATAGAGTTAACCTAATTGTCAGTAGAAACATACTTACTTTTACCAACAGTTCTGTCTTCAAATGTTGTTTTGAAGGGAGTTGATTGTCTACAGGTTTCATTATGAGCTGACGTCAGTTAAAGAACCATTGGAAAACCAGAGAGTATTGGAAAGCTATTTCGTCCTAGTTTATCTTTATCAGTATGCGCCCACTAAGGTTCGAAACTAGGACCTTCCAGTTACAAAGCAAACTCGCAGACCATTCCCATTTTCACTCGAATTAATTGGATCTAAAAATGTGTTTAGTACTGGATTTTAACTAGATGGCGTTAAAGGTAGTGTTTTGTCCAAGCAACTTGAATGCTCAAGATTTTTGTTTTGGTCAAGCAATTACAATTTCGAAAATAAGATGAGCGAGGAGCTTTTTAATGAATCAAGATTTCATATTTAAATGTCAGATATAATGTTGTTGCGACCTTATAAAATGTTATTCTGAATGAAATGCACAGTTTGACACTACCAGCCTATAAATCGGTGTACTTACATTTGGGCCAGAAAAGATTGCAAACCGATTATGACAACTTTTATCAGTTCATGAAGTTTAGTACTCCTCTAAGTCCTAAGTGGAACATACAGCTTCAAATTTTTGAAGTTTCTGCAGGGGCTGTGTTGTTTTTCGGAATGGGCTTTCAACTTGCTGCATCCTACTTGAAAATTGATCTGATGCTCACCAGCGACTGGCCCTATTCAGGCAGTTACCCGGGGCTCTAGTGATAAGCCGTGACCAGTGGGGTACAGCAGATCGAAGGTGATGACAGATACTCATCGAAGACATTGCGAAGTGATCGCGCTATATCGTGAATTGAAAGAAGTTGGAATTCATGGGCTTACCATTAGATCGGGTCCCAGTGGCTTAATGATCTACGAGCTAGCTTGCCTTGTAGCCAGCGGGTCCTGGGTTCGAACCCAGGCTGTGGATGCGTACTTCTGAAGAGTTCAAACTAAGACGGAACAGCTGTTGAATATTCATTGTAGGTTTTCCAATGGTTCTCTAACTGATGTCAGCTCATGATGAAATCCCCAACCAATCAAACAAAATTCCTACAAAACAAATACTTGAAAATTCTGAAAAATGTTGAAATAAATTATGGAATTTTCAAATACTGATTTGCAAGGACTTAATTAGTGTATTGGTTAGCCTCTAGTCATTAGAAAAACGGGTTTGATGATTTTCTCTGCCTAACAGATTTTAAACTGACAACTTTCATGATCGTCTCCCTTTATTTCTGTTTGCATGAAATGGTTCATCATTGCTGAGTTAAGTTGTTTTTGTAATTTACATTAGCTACAGATCAAGTTGTGCGTCGGTGGCATAGCGGTTAGGACGCTCGCCAACCATGCATATGGTCCGGGGTTCGATCCCCGGCCGATGCACTCCTTTACCTCGCTAAGCCAGAAATAATGCTGGTAAAGAGGAAAGGTTGGGCATGAGGCTAGCAACCCCATCCTGTAAAATGAACACTGCTACAGAAACTTCAAGCCACTAGCTTGAAGCCCTGTGTTCCACTGGGGAACGTGAAGGATAAAATAAATAAAAAAATATACAGATCAAGTTAAACGATAAACACAACTTAGCAAAATGAGTTAATGCCAAAAATATGCTAAAATTTAATAATCCAATGAAACACTTAAGTGTAATGTTCTTTATTGAAGGCGAATGTGACAGTCAAATTTCTATAAAACAACTTCAAGTATGTCACCCATTAGTGTAGTCTGAATAGTAGATTATTTATTACACTCTCAAAGATATCATGTTGATGACTTTCAGAAAAGTGGTAAGTCAGGAAAAAGCTGTTAACAACTTATTTGAATTTCAGCAGGTCTGTTGTAAATTTATCAAAAGATT